AGGGGGGGGAGGACGAGGAGCAGAGTGGGTGACGGCGTGGGGGTAGGGCGAGGAGCAGAGCGGGTGACGGGGGGGGGGAAGGCGAGGAGCAGAGCGGGTGGTGGTGGGGGGTGGGTGGAGAGAGAAAAAGTCAGAGACAGACAGACAGCAGCCGGGATCGGGGAAGAGACAGAAGACAGTCAGAGAGAGAAATGAAAGAACGTGAGAGAGGGGAGATGTGGGGAGCAGCCCTGAATTGTAAACTGCAGTCAAAATGGATTAAGAGGGGAAAAGTCCTACTTGTCCAAACTTCCTGATTTCTTGGGAGTAAGATACTGCAAATAGACATTTGACAAAGTTACATGGCTCTCCCTTTATTCTGAAACACAGACAGACATTAAAATTCTTGCTCATAATTCTCGTAATTCTCCAGGATTATTAGTGCTGACACTGTACCAAGTGCCACATGTTAACTTGCTACATCAATCATGCCCCTTAAGTCTCACTTTGTGAAGTGTCACACAGCAGCTGTTCAGGTTTTCACCACAAGGTGGCCCCATGAAACATCTCCCTCAACACCATTGTCGTTGTGTACCACCCAGTGACCATGGCCAACGCTATGATAAGATAATTACATCCTTCACAGGGAAACTCGGGATAAAGGTGGAGACATTCAGCCCATCATTCCTGCGCCAGCACATTGATGAAGCAATCCAAAATTTATCCCATCAGTCTGCTCTCGCACCAGCGCTCCGTATCTTGATTTGCTGCAAATATGCACTGTATTTTCCTTAAGATTACTACAGTCCCTGCTTCAAACAAAACGTGTGGCAAAAAAGTTGCTTTGAACTGGGGATGACAGTGGCATGGTGGTAATACCAGTGGGCTGGTAATCCAGAACTGCCTGGATAATGTTCTAGGGAAAACTGAAAGGACTGCAGATGCTGTAAATCAGAAAAAGAAACAGAAATTGCTGGAAAAGTTCAGCAGGTCTGGCAGCATCTGTGGGTCACGTGACCCGAGACATTAACTCGGATTTCTCTCCACAGATGGTGCCAGACTTGCTGAGCTTTTCCAGCAACTTTGGTTTTTGGTTCTGTTGTTTATGTTCTGGGGCCATGGATTTACCCTAGCAGAAAGGGTAATTTGAAATTAATAAAGATCTGGAATTAAAAACTCACCTAATGGTGACCATGGCAATGGTAGCCACTACCAACTGTTGCAAAAACTCATCTGGTTCACTTTTGGGAAGGAAATCTACTGCCCTAACACAGTTTGGCCTACACGTGACTCCACATCAACCTCAGCAACTCTTAAACATCCTCTTAGCTATTAGGGACAGGCAATAAACGTTGTCCTAGCCAGCGATGCCCACAAGTCATGAATGAATAAAGAAACTTCTTCCTCATCAAGCTGATGAGCTGTCATCATGGACTCCTGGCCAGGACGTGTAATCTGCCGTTCAGCCACACGTTATACATCACAAATCACTCGGAATCCTCCCTACATCTTCAAGGCAACCATGACTGTTCATCCACTAATCAGTAACATCTGTACAGCCTCTTTTGCGCTGTGAAGTCTCCCAAACACTCTTCAAACAAGCCACATCAGACAACGTTTGAAACCGAGGCAAAGATTGGGAAGAAGGTAGAGGTAACAAGGTGTAGAGCTGGATGAACACAGCAGGCCAAGCAGCATCAGAGGAGCAGGAAGGCTGACGTTTCAGGCCTAGACCCCTCTTCAGGAAAAAAAAGATTCTCCAGCATCTGCAGATCCTACTATCTTGGGAAGAAGGTACGTGTTTTGAAGAGCAACTTGAAGAAAGATGGAGGGAGAGCAGACAGAGAATTTCAGATAATGGGGCTGAGGAGGCAGACGGCACAGCTACCAATGACAGAATAATGACAATAAGAAGGTGCCAAATGTTAGGAACATAGGACTCAGCAGCAGCAGTAGGCCCCTCGTACTGCTCCACCATTTAATAAGACCTTGACTGATCTGATAATGGCTTCAGGCTCATTGTCCTGACTGCACCTCATAATCCTCAACTCCCTTGCCTCCCAATGAGAGGATTACGGAGTGTCCTGGGGATAATGCTGGTGGTGGTGAGGGCACGGAAGGAATCGAAAACAGGGTTTTAAAAATCTTTTCAAAAATTAAGATGCTGCTAGACTGTGAGGACCACAGGTGAACGAGACTTGGTGCAGCTCAGGAGCAGAGTTTATGTTTAATTCAATTGCAACTTGGGAGGAATTAAGTCGAGAGAGAACAAAGAGAAGGTAAGTATATCTCAACAATACATCCGAAGGGATTCTGCAGAACACTGCCAGCTTCTCTGCAAATAATGCAACTTGCTGCACACTTACCTGTTAATCTCCTCTGCTCCCATATGAAAGAGAACATCAGTTGAAGTCATACCAAAGACCACGTCGTTGATGTTCAATGTGCACGGATCAGAAACGAAATGGACACGCTGTCAGAAAGGCAAATACATAAGACGGATCAAGATTTTCACTGCTACACTCACTGCTTCTATAGTAATCTTTCCTGTCCTCAAGGTACTGGCACCTAATACAGTGTACAATTATTCAGCCACACCCCCAGCCCACCCTGACACTTACCCCATTAGTCATACCCAAGGCTAGATTGAATCATAAAATGTGAACCCTTAAAATCTAACTCTTCTGCAAAGATTTCCCCCTAATATTTACCCATCACCTCAATTAGCACAACATTCTATTATCTTCACTCTTCTCCTAGCAACCATCCTTGCATCTGGAATTATGATATGGATCTTCAAAGCTAATGGAAGATTTTGAAGAGATTGAGTGCACCCAGATATAGAGGACAAAACAGAGGGTCAGCTGTGGTTCAGTTGGAAACAGTCTCACTGGAGTCACGAGTTTAGGAGATCAAGGTCCACACCACTGATTAGAGCACCAAACTCCAGGGTGACACTCCCACACAATGCTGAGGGAACACCGCACCGCCCCCAGGGTGGGATGGCACAGAGGGTGCGCCATGCTGGCCAAGGGAGTGGCACAGCATGCTGCCAGAGATGCCAACTTTTACATGAACAGTTGAGTTAAATCTCTTCTCTGGTGGATGTAAAATATCTACTGCAGTGCTTCAAGAAAGAAAAGGAGCAGCTGGTTTCTCCCAGTCTCTGAGGGCCAATATTTGCCTCTCTATAGGCATTATTACACAGGGCTATAGGCAAAGAGTAGGGGAGAGTGGATTTAATTCCATTTTTCAGAGCCAGCACAAAGATAATGGCCCAAATGGAGTCCTTTTGTGATTACTATCTAAGCGCTGGGGCTGTGTACAGGAACAAGAGGGAATTATAGTTTGCATCTTGGATGAACCATTGCTCAGATGATCTATTCCTGAAGATCGGGCCAGGTTACCTTCCACAGAGTGATCAGAGGTCTCGGGAGCAGGTCATAACCTGCCATGCAGGATTAGAATAGGGATAAGTCAGGAGAAAGGACTTAGCTACCTCCTCCCAACCAGCAGCCACTGAAGATTTACAGCCAGATTTACAGGAGCAATAAATGAATTGAGCGCTCTGCAGTACGAGGGGGTCACTCTGCTGATCAGTCTTTAAACTGAGACTCCATTTAAACAGAAAGCCTGGCTTCCACTGTCAGCGCTCCCATCCCTCAGCCAGTCTTAGTGTGGGTCAACTATGAGGGAGTAAAACAAGACCCGGATGAGGAAGGAGGATGGGCAACAGACCAGATGCTGACCTTTCACCTCTGGAACCCAGGGGGTATAAAACCGAGTCCAGAAGGATAAGTGGTGGGAGCCAGATCACACTAGCTGTTGGAACACAGAATGAAGATAAAAATGAACAAAATGGGCATGTTGTGCACATGAAAACAAGCCTCTAACTCATGACGGACATTATTACTGAGGAGTTAATGATGATCAACTATGCTGCTTTCAGGCTACTGTTTAAGGATTCCCGGAGGGATCCTCAACAAGAGTCAGCTTGTAAATCCCTCTTGGTGTGAAGACCCTAATAGCTCAATTGCTATATCTCAGGCCAGTACCTTAAGTGCTGATTATTCACAGCAATGAGGCTTTTGTTACTTTAAAAAGGAGGAAAACATACAAACAAACGCAATCTGCTTTAAACAGCACCTTTAACATAGTAAAAGCTTTGGAGCAGAAGGTTGCTTTGAGAGATACCTGCCTATATCATACTATCTGCCAGAGTAAACAGCAGCTCCAGATCTCAGTACACTGGATCGGTGATAAACACTGCTCCAGCTGCAAGGTGATTTAAGACTCCACAGACTGTAGTCCAGAGGATCGATGCTGTTTATTGTACAATGTGCTCCTGGTAGCTGTTCTCCACTACCTCTCTGGGCATTAGAGGGATTGAGATAATAGAGGGATTGAGTTCAAGAGCCGTGAAGTTATGCTCCAGCTATACAAAAGCCTGGTTTGGCCACATCTGGAGTATTGTGTCCGGTTCTGGTCGCCTCATTATAAGAAAGATGTGGAAGCGTTGGAAAAGGTGCAGAGGAGATTTACCAGGATGTTGCTTGGAATGGAGGGAAGGTCTTACAAGGAAAGCTGGGGCTTTTCTCTTTAGAACAACGAAGGATGAGAGGAGACTTGATAGAGGTGTACAAAATGATCAAAGATACAGATAGAGTGGATAGCCAGAGACTTTTTCCTAGGTTGGAGGTAGCTATTACGAGGGGGCATAGTTTTAAAGTGCATGGAGGTAGATATAGGGGAGACGTCAGAGGTAGGTTCTTTACTCAGAGTGGTCGGGATGTGGAATGCATTGCCAGAGAGGGTAGTGGAGTCGGCCTCATTAGGGGCATTTAAGTCGCTATTAGATAGGCATATGGATGATATTATAAGGTAGGGGTGGAGGTTAGATAGACCTTAGGTTTAGGGTAAAAGTTCAGCACAACATCGTGGGCCGAAGGGCCTGTACTGTGCTGCACTGTTCCATGTTCTAACATGGGCTGGATTTTTTCCCCTCCCTCAACATACTGGACCAATCAGGTCAGTGTAGTCGTGACATTCCTTTCCCCAGTCGTCACAGGCAAGGCCAGAATTTACTGCCTGGCCCAATGCGCCACATTGGCCTGAGACTGGAGTCACCTATACTGTATAAGGACAGCGGATTTCCGTTGATGAGCCTGTTTGGTTTTGAACTGGAATCAGCAGCCTCCTTGACATTTTTACTGACCCAAGTTTTTTCTTTAAAAACACTCCAGTTTGCAAATTAACTTGTTTGGAATTCTCAATCAGGCCACGGTGGGAGTTGAACTCAGGATCTCTGGGGATGCTGGGAGTGTGGTGGTAACATCACTGGACAGGTAATCCAGAACCCCAGACCTGTGTTCTGGGGCTACATTAGATGGTGAAATTTGAGTTCAGTAATAATCTGGAGTTAAAAACTAGGTCTAATGGTGACCAGTGTAACCACGGTTGATTGTTGTAAAAATCTGTGTACTTTAGGGAAGGAAATCTGTTGCCCTTCCCTGGTCAGGCCCATATGAACTCCAGATACAGAGCAATGTGGTTGACTCTTAACCTCTCCCTGAAATGGCCTGGTTTGTATCAAACTGCGGTCAGAGTAACTAGAAAACAATTGATAAAATTCCAGCCCTATCACCCATAAATAAACTGGATTAGAAAGTTCAGAATTAACGTTCCAGCCAAAGGGTTTACGGGCAGATGCAGAGAAAGATCACTGAAAGGTGAAATACCTCCTTGTCTTCTTTAGACGGCTCAAAGCAGTAGAACGGCGCCTGAGGATATACAAAATCGTGGTGAACATCCCTCAGTGATGGTACGACCACAAGATGTGACCCTGAGCTGAACAGAAACCATGCATTTAGAGGGACAAGCTACCAGAAGTAAGAGTTTGTTCTTAAGTTCTACCACCTCATCTCCCAACCCATTTACACAGCCCAAATGCTGCAATTTCTAATGCATTATACACTGCAATAGCATTTTTCAGACTTTGATTGGCAACAAAACTGAAAGGAAGCAGCCAGCCTCCCACTGTAACTGAAGTAGTAACAATTAGAATTTAGAGAGTAATATTCAATGCTGCCAGTCACTGCAATATACTGACGAAGTGTAATCAGCCAGGGTTAGCTACCCAGGTAAAAGAGGAGAGATTAAGAGGTATTTTCTTTCACAGGGTGTGAGTGTCACTGGCTGGTCAATGACTGATCGCTCCTCATACCCACTGCCCCATTGTCCCAGGGAAGGTGCCTTCCTGAACCACTGCAGTCCGTGTGGCGTAGGGCCGCCCACAATGCCATTAGGGAGGGAGTTCCACAATTTCCACACAGCGACACTAAATGAACGGTGAAATATTACTATAGTGAGTGGCCTGGAGGGAATCTTGCAGGGGGTGTTGTTCCCACATAACTGCTGCTCTTGTCCTTCGAGATGGAAGTGGTTGAGAGTTTGGAAGGTGCTGTCTGAAGATCTTTGGTGAATTTCCACAGTACATCTTGTAGACGGTACACATTGCTGCCACTGAGCGTCGCTGGTGGTGGTGGTGTGGGGGGTGGAAGCTTGTGGACGTGGTGCCAGTCAACCCGGCTGCACAACCCGAGTGCTGCTGCATCCAGGGGCAAGTGGGGAGTATTCCATCACACTCCTGACTTGTGCCTTGTAGATGGTGGGACAGGGGCCGAGGAAGGGTCACCAGTCTCGAAACGTTCACTCTGACTTTTCTTCACAAGTGCTGCCAGACCTGCTGAGCTTTTCCAGCAACTTCTGTTTTTGTTGTTGTCGTCGATGCTGGACAGGCTTTGGGGAGTCAGGAGGTGAGTTACTCACTGCAGAATTCCTAGCTCTGACCTGCTCTTGTGTTCTCATGTGGTGAGTCCAGTTGAATTTCTGGTCAATGGTAACTCCCAGGATGTTGATAATGGGGCTGAAGGGACTAACATACCCAGGAGAGGAGGGATCAAAACTGGGGTACTGGAGAAATGAGACTCTGACACAGATCATAGAAGAACACAAGAAACAGGAGGATAAGAGTGTTTGGCCTCTCAAGTTCACTCGGTCATCTAAAAGAGATCACAGCTGATTATGGGGTAGAACTCCACTTTCTGTCAATTCACGGAGATGAAAAAATCTACTAAACAGGCCTTAAACATGTTCAATGATGGAGACTCCACAGCCCTCTAGGGCAGAGAATTCCAAAGATTTATCAGGATCTGAGTGAAGAAATTTCTTACCTCAGTCTGACCTGATCTGAAACAACAAGGAGCAAAAAAGAAATACCAAGGGGCAAAAAACATTAGTAGGTGTCATGTACAGACCCCTAACCTGCAGTGGTGATGTCAAGAATTGCAGTAAACATGAAATTAGAGATGCACGTGACTAGGGAATGTTGGTGATCATGTGTGATTTTAACCTGCACACAGATTGGACAAATCAAATTAGCCACAACGCCGCAGAGGAGAAATTCCTAGATTGTATACGACATGGTTTTCATGACCAATAGGTGGAGGAGCCAACTAGAGAGCAGGTCATCTTAGATTGGGTACTGTGTAATGAGAAGGGAATCAGTGCCAATCTAGATGTGAGAGACCATTGGGGGGATGAGCGACCATAACACGATAGGATTTATTATCGAGGTGGAGAGTGAGGTAGTTGATTCGGAGACTAGGGTGCTGAACCTTGATAAAGGAAACTATGAGGATATGAGGCGTGAGTTGGCCTGGATAGAATGGGGAGAGTTACTTAAAGGGATGACAGTGGATAGGCATTGGCAAACATTCAAAAAATACATAGGGGAATCTGCAACAACCGTTTATTCCTGCCTGCCGCAAAGGTAAAATGGGCAAGGCAGCCAATCTATGGTTTACAAAGGAAATAAAAGATAGTATTCAATCCAAGGAAGAAGCATTTGGATTGGCCAAGAAAAATAATAAATCTGAGGTTTCGGAGCAGTTTAGAATTCAAAACAGGACCAAGGGATTGATTAAGAAAGGGAAAAGTGTACGAAAGTAAGTTTGCAGGGAGCATAAAGACTGATGTTAAGAGTTTCTATAGGTAGGTGAAGAGACAGAGATAGGTAAAGACAAATGTAGGTCCCCTACAGACAAACAGAGGAACGTATAAGAGGACAAAGAAATGGCTGAAGTATTGAATACATACTTTGGCTCTGTCTTCACAAAAGAGAACACAAAACAAATACCAGAATTGCTGGAGGATGCAAGATTTAGTTAGAGGGAAGAATGGAGGGAGATCAATATTAGTACAGAAATCATGCTGGGAAAATTGTTGGGATTGAAGGCCAATAAATCCCCAGGGCCTGATAATCTACATCCCAGAGTACTTAAGGAAGTAGCTCTAGAAATAGTGGATGGATTGGTGGCCATCTTCCAGGATTCTACAGACTCTGGAACAGTCCCTGCAGATTGGAGGGTAGCTAATGTCACTCCAGTATGCAAAAAGGGAGGTAGACAGAAAACAGGGAATTATAGACCAGTAAGCCTAACATTGGTACTGGGGAAAATTCTCACAATCCATTATCAAGGATTTTATAGCAGTGCATTTAGAAAGCAGTGGCAGGATCAGATAGAGTCAGCATGGATTTGTGAAGGGGAAATCATGCTTGACAAATCAACGGAAATTCTATGAAGATGCAACGAGTAGAGTTGATAAGGGGGAGCCAGTCGATGTAGTATATTTGGACTTTCAGAAAGCGTTTGACAAAGTCCCACATAAGAGACTAATGTGCAAGATTAAAGCGCATGGGATTGGCGGAAGTGTATTGAGATGGATAGGAAACTGATTGGCAGACAGGAAACAGAGAGTAGGAATTAATGAGTCCTTTTCAAATTGGCAGGCAATAACTAGTGGGGGTGCCACAGGGTTCGGTGCTGGGACCCCAGCTATTCACAATATATACTAATGATTTGGATGAGGGAACAAAATGTAACATCTCCAAGATTGCAGATGATACCAAGTTGGGTGGGAGAGTGAATTGTGACGAGGATGCAGAGATCCTTCAGCATGACCTCAACAGGTTGGGTGAGTGGGCAAATCCATGGCAGATGCAGTAAAATTTGGATAAATGTGAGGTTATTCACTTTGGAAGCAAAAACAAGAAGGCAGATTACTACCTGAATGGCTGTAAATTGGGAGAGAGGAGGGTGCAGCGGGAGCTGTGCACCAGTTGCTGAAGGTAAGCGTGCAGGTGCAGCAGGCGGTAAAGAAGGCAAATGGTATGTTGGTGTGCATTGAGAGAGGTTTTGAGTACAGGAGCAGTGTTGTCTTGTTACAGCTGTACAGGGCCTTGGTGAGACCATACCTGGAATATTGTGTGCAGTTTTGTTTGCCTTTTCCGAGGAAGGATGTTCTTACACTCGAGGGAGTACAGCGTAGGTTTACCAGGCTGATTCTGGGGATGGCGGGTCTGAAGTATGAGGACAGAGTGACTAGGTTGGAATTGTTTTCGCTGGAGTTCACATGAATAAGGGGTAATCTCAGACTTATAAAAGTCAAACAGGACTAGACAGGGTAGATGCAGGGAGGATGTTCTCGATGGTGGGTGTGTCCAGAACCAGGGTCACAGGATTCAGGGTCGGCAATTTAGGATAGAGATGAGGAGACATTTCCTCACCCAAAGAGTGGAGAGCCTGTGGAATTCATTACCACAGGAAGGAGTTGATGCCAAAATATTCAATGTGTTCAAGAGGTGACTAGATATAGCACTTGGGGCGAATGGGATCAAAGGTTATGGGGAGAAAGCAGGATTAGGCTATTGAGTTGGATGATCAGCCATGATCGCGAAGAATGACAGAGCAGGCTCGAAGGGCTGAATGGCCTCTTCCTGCTCCTAGCTTCTACGTTTCTATGATCTGAATGATATACTGAGACCAGCCCTCTATCTTAAATTCCTCAGCTCTTGGGAAACAACCTCCCCCATGTCTATCCTGTCAAGTCCCTTCATAATCTTGAATATTTTGGAGGCCACCTCTCATGCTTCTCAACACCACAGAATGTCAACCCAATTTACTCAGCGATAGTAGGAACTGCCGATGCTGGAGAATCTGAGATAACAAGGTGTAGAGCTGGATGAACACAGCAGGCCAGGCAGCATCAGAGGAGCAGGAAAGCTGATGTTTCGGGTCTGGACCCTTCTTCAGAAAATTTACTCAGCTTCTCAAAGGACAACCCCGCTTCATCCCAGGGGCCAATCTAGTGAACCTTCACTGTATTGCCTCCAACATATATCCTTCCTTAAACATGGAGACCAAAACTGCACAGAATGTTCCAGGTGTAGTTTCGCCAAGCCCTTCTAGAATTGTAACAAGACTGTTTTATTTCTTGTACTCCAATTCTCTTGCAATAAAGGTCAGCATATTATTTGCTTTCTGAATTGTTTGCTGCACCTGTACACTAACTCTGCTGCTTGTACAAGTACACACAAGTGTCCCTGAACATCAACAAATTTCATATCTTTTCCTATAAAACTTCTGCTTTCCTATTCTTGCAAGCAAAGCAAGTAACCTCACAGTTGTCCACTTTATAATCTACGTGTCATATTGTTATCCCCTCACGGAATCCAACTGGTATGTTATAGCTCTGTACTTGCAGTGGGGAGACACTACCAGGTCAGAGTAGGGTCTTATTTACATGATGGCTCAAAAGAAAGACGTCAAATGATACGTCCCACACAGACCAAACCCAGGCTGTTTATCATGCCAGTGTCTTAGTGGGCAAACAATGACAAAACCAGGGTACCTTTGAAGAGAAATGGTCTTAGGGTATAGCAGCAGTCTCCCAACATCTAGATCAGAAGCTCTCAATGTCAGGACTTTGTGGCCACATGGAAGGTGGCTAAGCAGGCTGATTATCAATGTGTGATGGCAGGCAGTAAGAGGAAGAGGAGTTAGCGAACAACCTGAAAGATGCAGTAACTGAAGTGCAGCAGTCTCCCCAAGTGAAAAGGGGCAGACAGATGGCCATAAAAAGTGCACTTCAGCAACTCAAGATTCCTTTGACAGCACATTCCAAACTCAGATTGTTTACCATCGAGAAGGACAAGCTACATCGGGACACCACCCCTGCAATCTTTCCTCCAATCCCGAAACCATCCTGACTTGGAAATATTTCGCTATTTGTTCAAGATCTCTAGGTGAAAAACCTGGAATTCCCTCCCTAACAACATTAAGGGTGCCCCTACACCCCATGGACTGCAGTGGTGCAAGGCAGCAATTTATCACCATCTTCCCCAGGGCAATGAAAGAAGAGCAGTCAATGCCAGCCTAGCCAGTGACACCCACGTGCCGTGAAAGAATAAACACAAGCGTACTGATTATATGGAGGTAGTGCAGAAACATACCCCCTCGTTCCTTCCACGATTCCCTTCATGCACTGTTTAAAAACCTCTTGGTAGGTCACTGTCAGCTGGCAGTTCTAGGATTAAAAACATTAAAACAATGTGAAGTGCTACAGCAATAGCACTCATTCAAGCACCATGTCAGAGTTCCTTCCTCGACCCTCAGCTCACTTTACTTAAAGGACAAGATGGGAAACCAGATTATAATAACTGTGCTCTCCCTGCACAGCCACAGAGATCTACAGCACAGAATATGGTCCTTTAACCCATCACATCTGCTGCATACAGAGCGCAATGCCTGGATGGGTCAGCACCACTGACAACAGAACACTCCTGCAGACATATGCAGGATGTGCAAATCTGAACTGTTCAGGAGTCGAGTGAGAAGGGAGGGAGGGAGAGAGAGAGAGCAAGGGAGAGCCAGAATATATATAGAGAGAGGGGAGTGAGCAGAGAGAATAAAGAGAGAGACAGATAGAGTATGTGATCTTCTTATCAAGCCAGGGCTAACACCTCAGTGAGCACAACAGAGGACTGGAATTGGTGAAGACTGTTAAATGCAATCTGAAAAAAAATCCTTTACACAGAAAGCGTTGTGGGGAAAAGGAATAATGATATGCATATAGCTTGGTTTACTTTGTTTTATCTTCCTTCCTTCTGCACAATAAACTTCTGTTTTACTGTTAAAATCAGATCGGACCATAGAACACGTGTTTCAGTGAGAGACCACCTCATTGAATAAAAATGATCTATCCAGCCAGATTTCAGTCTGGGATGTGACTTGTTCAGCAGAACCATAATAGATCTATTAAAAATCCTAAATAATCCTCTTGTAGTTCTTTTGTTAATTGCCTCCAATCACAGGAGATTGATGGTTGAAGATGGCACAGAGAACCTTACCTCAATCTGCTGATGTTTAACATCCACAAACGGCCCCAGCTGTAAGGAAACAAGAAGAAATATTGACAATGATGGTGATTTTACAGATGGATGGGCTGTTGTAATAGACAGCCCAGATTTCAGGTTTCTGTGGCCTGAAGGAGAAAGTTTCCCACTTCTATGTTAAATGTGTCCTTTTGCAGCCCTTCTTTAATTTTTTGAATTTTGGTTTGCACTTCAGCTCCACCCTCCTGATCTATGTGCACCCAGTGTGGGGAGGGGCAGTCTAAGGGCCTTGTCATGGCTCTGCTCCTGGCCTGGCCAAAGTGGCCATTAACAGGCCGGGCTATGTGCCCCTCTTTCGCGGTTACATCCATGCTTGGGTGACCCTGGAGAGGAAGCATGTGGTGCTCACCGGAACAGTCGAGGCCTTGTAGAGATCAGTGGGAGCCGTGAGGCCTGGAGTATATTATCAGCCTAGGAAATGAGATTCTAATGTATTAAGTTTCTGTTTTGTTGTATAAGTTCCCGGTTGATTTTTTAAATTTGTGTTTGCCCCAGAAATGATTGGTGCGGACAGTGCAAGAGGAATTTTATTTTCAGTCCAAGTGACTAGGAGGAATTTTCCACTGTATTCTAACGTCTTGTTGTCCCTGTCCGAGAGGGTTTGATTGGGACAGAGCTGAGGGGATTTTAAGTTTATTTTGAGTTCATATGAGTAGAGGAAAAGTTGACTTTGCACTTTAGCCCCTTGATGTTCTTATCACAAGAGGGTTTAATGGGGACGGTGTCAAGGGAACTTTACCTTCAGTACAAACAAGTAGAGAGTTTTACTCTGCATTTTGCTCCCTTGTTGTCCTTATCCCAGGACTGTTTGATGGGGACAGAGGGGAGGGACTGTGATTTCCATTTTAAAAGATTTGGAGTAATTAGTTTCAAGTTCTAAAGAGTCGATAAAACTTATTCTTTTTAAACAGAAAAATAGTGAGCTTTACTCTGTATTTAACCCAGTGCTGTCCCTATCCCAGGAGTGTCCGATGGTGGCGGTGTCATGAGGACTTGATTTTCTTTGTTCACATCATCATCGAGAGAGATTCAGGCTTTAGTTGCCGAGTAGCACTGATGTGTTTCAGTCCGTGTGCCAGATTACACCAAACCCTTACCGAACAAAAGGACAGAAACCTCGTGAAGGACCAGCAGTCCCCAGTATAACAAAGTGAGTTGCAGGTTAACCCAGCAAGGGCTACCGCGCAAAGCATGACAGGGAGTGAGTGAGTGATCAGAATTGGATGCGACTCAGAAAGCAACATTAATAGGCAGAACTGAAGTGGGTACCTACTAGTATGCAGACATCTGGTTGGTCCCTGTTGATGACATCTATCAGATCCAGCATAGGGTGGTAGGTGATGCTGTCTGTGGTGGTGTAGGGTCCACAGGCCACAAGAACCATCTGCTGCTCCAAACCTGAGGGCATCACTCACAGCTCATTAAAGTGCATATGTCAGGACCCTCCCCTCCCCTCCCCTTCTCCTCTCACCATCAGCACACACATCTGACACACATTAAATAATTACAATAAATCAGTCAGATGAGGAAAGGAACACACACCCAGACATGCACTGGCTGAGAAAGTCACATCTCAAAGCCTGAACGTCGGGATTTTCTACAGAGATTAAAACATCACACATTACATGGTGTAATGTTACTGAGTGAGCACCTATCATTTGTCTCACGAATCACCAGGGCCACGTCGAGGTTATAATGATCAGGAAAGATTGAACAGATTTAAGAGAAGCCGATGGGTGAGCCGACCCCGTCTTTAAAATGAAGAAGGGGGCATCAATAGGACTGACATAAAGATGATGTTGTCCATTGTGGGTGAGACCACAACCAGAGTGAGGAGGGGGGCAACCAAAAGGCACTCACTAATAGATCCATTCAGAAATTTGGGAAAACCTCCTCACCCGGTTTGTCGGGGTGGGGATGTGACATGTTCTCACAAGGAAGGGTCAAGGTGAATAGTATTGATACAGTCAAGGGGAAGCTGGGTTAACATGAATGAGAAAGGAACAGGAGGTTAAGAGGGCTGGGACACTCGAGGGGAGCACAACAGCAGTCTCAACTCGTCTATTTTCACCCTCAAATATTTTGCAAGTCCAATTTCTATAACTAAGTCAATTAGAGGAAAGAAATAACAGAATTATAAAGCATCTTTCACATCATCAGGACGCTCCAAAGTGCTTTACAACAAATTCAATAAGTTAAGTACTTTTGCTTGAAGTGTAGTCACAGTTGTAAAGTAGGTCAATGGAACAGTGAATTTTGAACACAGATGGTAGTGATGGTTTTGTACATCATTTACCTTCACGAGTGTCCTCTGGTTTGTAGAAAGGCAGTGGCACTCCCTGCAAAAGGGGCACATCCAAAAATGATTCAACAGAGAGAACAAGTTATCAGCACAGCGTAAAACTAAGGGAATTCGCCGAGTGGGTAATAGTGGAAAAAGGTGCTCAGATAGCACATAGAATGTTTTAAATCTGTTTTATCATTCTACACTCTTCCTCCTTAATGCAAGCTGCAGACCAAGCTGACTACACTTGCAAACATTCTGCATGGCTTCTCCCAGCATAGCCAACCCATTCTCAACTAAAAGCCACTTCCTGTTAGTACCCACTCAACATTTATTTCTCTCCTGGCTTATAATCAGCAATCCTTTGCCTACTTCTTATCGCACTGACCACCTTCCTGAATCAGGATTCGGGCTGGAAGATGGGGGCAAGAAATCACATCTACAGCTCCCTCCTCCCACAGACACACGCCCCTGCCCAGGCATCGTCTCTATCTCTGCATTCTTCCCTCCACTCCCTGTCAACCATATATCTATCACAAAAAGCAGGAGGCCTAGTTTGAACTGGCACCTTCCCACAGCAGGGACAGCTGTTGGACTGGGGTCTGGCGCAGAGGCCCTGTGCTGAGCTGTTACAATGTAATGTATATTTGAAATTTTTTACCTGACTATAATGTCAGTCCTTTAACAATGTCTTATTTCTAATTCTTTTTTAAAACCTCTGTAAAGTAATGCAACTACTTTTTAATTCCTCTTTTGTATCCAAGATTTGTACCCACGTACTTGTACCTAAGATGGTGCCACAAGAGGCAGACATTGTAAGGGCTGTTCACTGTACTTCTACAATGGAGTACACATGACAATGAAGAATATTCTATATTCAGTCTGTAGTGGAATAACAGCAACCCAACAGCTGATGGTTAAACACTGAGTGTGACGGTATCGTCCCATTCAAAGACTCGTACCCTCATCCCACTGCTCAATGACTGACCTCATAGAGCCGGGAAGCCACCATACATCGACCAGTGCTGTTTGTTCCCTCCACAGCCACTACCTGATGAAAGCAAATACCAACAGAGTCAGGTCCAACACTTTGGCACATGTTGTACACGCACGAGAATTAATCAGAGGGAAAGTTAATCCGGAGGCAATGCTCATCCTCAACAAAATGACATCTACAATCTAAAATCAGAAAACAGCAGTTTGCCATTATTGACAGCCCCAGAATCAGCATACCCATGGGAAACAATCTGTGTGCTGTTTTAACATAAGCATTACAATACCACCACCTTCCCAGGGGGCAGTTAGGGATGAGCAATAAACGTTAGCATAGGCAGCAAGGCTCACATCCCATGAACGAGTAAAAAGCAACCACTCCAATAAAGGGCAAACAGAAAAATATTTATCAACTGCCTTCAGTGTTCATCCAACAGCGATTAATCTCTGATTCATCAGTGGGCATATGGTAACCCTCAGAGGGTGGCCTGATCTCAGCCAGGCTGCAGGATATGGCTTTAGCACAAGAAAGGAACAGAAAACATATCAGTCCCTCCTCAGCATGATGCAGCTCCTGCCTGCTGATAACGCTATGGGATAAGTCGTAAATTACAGACAGCTTCAGGATGCTATCAGCTGCTTTTTTATACAAACTGGTCATTGAATATATTGCAAAATTCTCTGGGAAATGGCAAGTTCTTTACTCAGCAGCCATCCTTATCCTATTCCTAAACAGAGCCATGTAAGCATTATTATTCTTGCATGGCTATCCTCCATTTATTTCATTAAAGCCACTGTCGTCTCACATTGAGCTGCATAAATAGTACAAAACAAGGGGTTCAAAGGCTGTTTGTAGTGCTCTTCTTGCAAGGGTCCATGGTTTCACGGTGTATTCGTATTAGAGAAGTGACCAATAAATGCTCATTTTAACAGATTTCACAACCTAACCTTCTCGATCACAGTCATCCTGGAGTTCAGTAAGGGACAGAGCTGGATAGGAAACCAAAGCTTTTTAATTTTTAGTTCGAGTTCTAATCGGTAGAGGAAATTTCCCTCTGCATTTTGACCCCTTGTCGTCCTTACCCCAAGAGTTTTGGTGGGAACAGAGTCAAGGGAAAGTCATTTTTATTTTCAGAACTTTATTTCGAGTTCAAGAGAGTCAGGGGACCTTTGAGCTCCAGAGTTGAAGAAATTTTACTTTTCTCTTTAAAAAAAAAAGTAGAGTGAGCTTTACTCTGCATTTCACTCAGTGCTGCCCCTAGCCCAGGAGGGGCTTCACTTTTCTGTTTACATCATCGTTTAAAACAGTAGGACACCAAAGCTCCACACTGCTCACTTACTGAGTACATCTTGTCAATCTTCCACTGCTACTCAGCTGTACCCACCTGTCCAGGAAAGAGGGAAAACTCCTTCAGTTCTGACAGGTCCACTGGCACTTGCATTCCTGTCGAATGTTTCAGGTCTCCTTGCAAAATCACTGACTTTGCATTGAGCTTGCCATTGCTGTCGCACGCAATTTGTCCCAGGAATGTTACCGGTTCCTGCAATGAACCGAAAGGAACAACTAATAACATTAACAGACAACACAAGAGAATGTGAATCTGTGCTCTGTTAACAAGTAGTATCCCGGAAACAGCTATAGATCAGGAATTGAAAGGGAGGGAGGAGCTCACGAAAAATACCGGGGAAGTAGACTGATGGAACGGCCAGGTGACATGCCCCCAGGACCTTCATAGAATCCCCACAGTGTGGAAGCAGGCCATTCAGCCCACTGAGTCCACAATCTGCACATCCCTGGACACTATGGGCAATTTAGCACGGCCAATCCACCCTAACCTGCACATCTTTGGACTGTGGGGAAAAAACCAGAGCACCCAGGGGACACCCACGCAGATACTGTGATTGGGGGGGTCAGACTGAGTGGGATACTCTGGGGAAAATGTTAAAAGCCTAGTGCTGTAGATAAAGAGAATCTAGTGGATGTATCGTACTTCAATTTCCTGAAGGCATTTGCTGTGGTGCCACATCAAAGGTCATTGTGAAGAGTAGAAGCTGACGCTGTAGGGGCTAACACATGGACAGGGATAGAAGATTGGTTTGTTAACAGGAAACACACAGCAGGAACACATGGGTCTTTATCAGGCTGGTAGGATGTCACGAGCCGTGTGCCACAGGGGTCAGTGCTGGGCCTCAGCTCTTTACAAGTTATACAACTGTGTGGATGAAGGTCCAGTAGCTAAATTTTCTGATGATACAAAGATGGGGAGAAAGTTCAGTTGTGAAAAAGGTAAGTAAAGTCAGTGGGAAAAGATCTAACAAATGGAGTATAACGTGGAAAAGTGTGAAATTGTCCGTTTTTGTAGAAAGAATAAGAAGAAATATTATCTAAATGGTGAGAGGTTGCAGAACTCCGAGATGCATCTGGGTGTCCTAGAGCATGAATCATGGAAGATTAGTAATAAGGTACACCAGGTAATCAGGAAAGCTAATAAAATGTTATGATCGATTGTGAGGGGAATTGAATGCAAGAGGAAGGAGTTAATCTTCAGTTATACAGTGCATTGGTGAGATCACATCTGGAGCATCTTGTACAGTAATGGTCTCCATACATACAGAAGGATGTCAACGTATTGGAAGAAGTTCAGAGAAAGTTTACTAAACTAATATCTAGAAGGAGTGAATTGCCTCCTGAATTAAGGGTACCCTCAGGAGTTTAGAAGCGTTCAGGATGACATAATTAAAACATAGGATCTAGGAGGAACTTGGTTGAATATTTCATCTTGTGGGAGAATACAGATCTAGGGCTCAGTTTAATTACATGGGGATGCACTTTTAAAATAGATGTAGAAACATTCATTTTCTCAGAGGATGTATGGATTTGCCGTTCTTAACGGACAGAGCTTGCAGAATCTTTAAATATTTTTAAGGCAAAGTTTGATTCTGGAGTTGAGATTAAAATCATCTCAGGCATGGTCTTATTGAGTGGCAGAGCAGGCTTGAAGGGCCATGTCACCCACTCTTGTTCCTTGATCATATGTTCTTAACTCTGGTAAGCAAACATATTCCAACACACTCACCTCATCTGCCTTCTGATTTCATGCTCAATGACAGACAGAGGCTCGGGAGGGGGTTTTTGTTTTCAGTATTCGCCATGGATTTGTCCTGTACACTACCCCCTACCTAACTCGGTAAACGCGTCTGCAGCTACATTCCCTACCACCAAACTCTCCATCAGTTCATGTACCCTCACCTCCAACTCTCATATCCTTCCCTACGTCTAATACCTCTGCCAGCCAACCATATTCCACGAATTCCTCCGATTGCAGCCTGAAACACCTCTAGATCTTCATCGCCCCGCCATTGGCCGAGATAGGGAGGCGGTGTAGCGGCTGGAGGAAATTACAGACATAGGGAGGGGTGTACCGGCTGGAGGAAGTTACTTGTAACAAACTTCAAAGACCTCTCATACTCAAATTAATTCTTGAGGTTGGAGACAGTAAGAACTGCAGATGCTGGAGTCAGAGTCAACACAGTGTGGAGCTGGAGGAACACAGCAGGCCAGGCAGCAGAGTCAATGTTTCGGGTCGGGACCCCTCTTCAGACTTGGGGAGGGGGAAGGGAGCTGGGAAAAAAAGTAGAGGGAGGAGAGTGGGGCTGGGGGAAGGTAGGTGGGATGGTAATAGGCAGATGCAGGCAGGGGGTAGTGGGGATGGGTTGGTGGAAAGGGTGGGGCGGATTGGTGAGAAAGAAGATGGACAGGTTGTGTCAGGTCAGGGAGGTGGTGTTGAGAGGGAGGTTTGGACGTGGGATGAGGCCGGGGGTGGAGAGATTTTAGAACGGGTGAATTCTATGTTCAGGCCATTGGACCGTAGGCTCCCCAGGTGGAATATGAGGTGCTGCTCCTCCAGTTTGTGTGTGGTATCTTTGTGGCACTGGAGGCGGCCCAGGATGGACATGTCAGCCAGGGAGTGAGAAGGGGAGTTCAAATGGTTAGCAACCAGAAGGTGTTGTTGATTATCATATACAGTGCAGATGCTCCACAAAACAGTCCCCGAGCCTGTGCTTGGTCTCACCGATGCGGAGGATGCCACATCGGGAGCAGCGGAGACAGTGGACCAAGTTGACAGACGTGCAGATGATCCCCTGTCTGATATGGAAGGTTTGTTTTGGGCTTTGGATGGGGAGGAGAGTGGGGGGGAGCGGAAAGGAGGAGAAGGTCTAGGGGCAGGTGTAGCACTTCCTGCAGTAACAGGAAAAAGGTGCTGGGGGTGGTGGGCTAGTTGGGAGTGGACAGAGGGACCGCTCACTCCGCGACTCCATGAAAAGCAGATAGGGATAGGGAGGAATATCTCTCTTTGGTCGTGGCATCGAATTGTAGGTGGTGGAAAATTATATGTCGGATGCGGAGTTGGTGAGGTGATAATGGGAGGACCTTTATTTTTGTTGGGGGATGGGGTTTGAGGGCAGATATGCCCTCAAGAGATGCGGTTGGGGGCATTTTCAATCAACAGAGGGAGGAAGTTGCGGTCCTTGAAATAGGAGGACGTCTGGGATGTCCGGGAGTGGAACGCTCCATCTCAGGAGCGGATGCAGTGGAGGCAGAGGACAAGTCGGTCGGCTTGAAACAGATGTCATTGCTGAGACGGCTACCAGATATGGAGACAGAGAGGCCCAGGAAGGGGAGGGAGGTATTCGGAGATGGTCCAGGTGAATTCCAGCTTGGAGTGAAAGGTGTTAGTAAAGTTGATCATCCTTAAAGTTCAAAGTACCATCCTCTGCCACGTCCGCCACCTAAAATCTGACCCCATGACCAAAGAGACATTTCCCTCTCCAACCCTATGTGCCTTCCATAAGGACCGCTCACTCCAGGACTCCCTCGTCTGCTCCACACTTCCCACTAGCACCACCACCCCCGGCACCTTTCCCTGCAACCACAGGAAGTGCTACACCTGCCCCGACACCTCCCCCCCTCACTTCCATCCAAGACCCAAAGCAAACTTTCCATATCTGACATAGTTCACCTGTACATCCTCCAACCTAGTCTACTGTAACCGTTGCTCTGATATGGCTTCCTCTACATTGGTGAAACCAAGCGCAGACTCGGGGACCATTTCGTGGAGCATCTACACTCTGTATACGATAATCGACAACACCTTCCAGTCGCAACCATTTTAACTCCCCCCCCCCCCCCCCACCTCCCATGCCCTGGGTGGCATGCCCATCCTGGGCCTCCTCCAGTGTCACAATGACACCACCCGCAAACTGGAGAAGCAGCACCTCATATTCCACCTCAGGAGCCTACAGCCCAAAGGCCTAAATGTGGAATTCACCAGTTTTAAAGTCTCCCCGCCCCCGGCCTCATCCCACGTCCAAACCTCCCTCTCATCCTCGTCTCCTTGGCCTGACATAACCTGTCCATCTTCGTCTCCACCTATCCATCCCACCCACCTTTCCCAGCCCACCCATCCCCCCTCTTGCCTCCTCGGCCTGACACAACCTGTCCATCTTCTCTTCCACCTATCTATCCCACCCTTCCCACTGACCAATAACCACTATCCTCTACCTGCATCCACCCAGCACCACTCCACCTACCTTCCCCCAGCCCTACCCCTCCTCCATTTACTTCCAAGTTCCCTGCCCCCTCCCCATTTCTGAAGAAGGGTCCCGATCCGAAACATCGACTTTCCTGCTCCTCTGATGCTGCCTGACCCGCTGTGTTCCTTTAACTCCATACTGTGTTGACTTAATTCTTGAGATTACTATTTCTTCTGAATAGGTTTAGGTTTTGTGAATACTATATTCGCTGGGCCATTTTCAATGCAGTCCACGTGATAAGGGCATGATTAAGAACCAGAATTTTGCTCCTCACCTGTGCTGGCATAGCCACTGATTGGATGTCCTCGATATTGTAATGATCTGTCAAAACCTGACTCAGGTCTTCAATCCCGTCATTGAGAACTGGAATGTATTAATAAACAGCACATTAGAACGTTCAATTTTCTAATCGATTTTACTGCCCTATCCTGAAGGTTCAATGCCTTCCACAAACCACACTCCCTCATATCTCATCTGTATGTGGACGTGTTGTGTTCACATCTGGGAACAGCAACACGGTGAGTCTGATCCATACTTGAAGTAGCTAACAGGGACAGGAACCTGGCTGGTTACTCCCCTCACTCTAGCCAAAAGGCACTGAAGCCAACACTTGCTTTCCAGCTGAGGACACTAATTGAACACAGAGCAGGTATTACAGGCAAGAGAACAGAGGAATTGGTGTAGGCCATTCAGCCTGTTCCACCATTCATTGAGATCATGGCTGATCCACGGCCTAACCCCACAGACCTGCCGTTCGCACATATCCCTTAATACCGGTGCTTAACACAAACATTATCTTTATCAGATTTAAAATGAACAACGGATCGGGCATCCACTGCCGTTTGGGGAAGAGAATTCCAAACCTCTCCCACCCTTAGTGTGTAGAAGAGCTTCCCACCATCTCTCCTGAACTGTCTGGCCCTCATTCTCAGCCTATGCTCCTAATTCTAGAATCCCAAACCAGTGGCAATAGTTTATGTTTATCTACCCTGTTAATACCTTGAAAACTTAGATTAGATCACACTTTACCTTTAAATTCTAGAGAACACAGGCTTAATTTGTACAATCTCTCCTCATAACTTAAACCCTTGATGTCCAGGTATCATCCTAATAAACGAAAGTTGTACTCTTTCCAAGGCCAATCTATCCTTCCTGAGGTGTGGTGCCCAGATCTGCTCTTGGTACTCCAAGTGGAGTTTTACTAGGGTTTTGTTTAACTGCAGCAGAATCTCAGCGTCCTTATACTCCAGCACTTTAAATACAAAGAACTTCTGGTCCATAGGGCCATAGCAACTGGAAGAGGCTCTGCAGTCTCTCAGGACAATCTACAAAACTATTGGGAATACATGTACATGCTTAGACTATGAAAGCTGGAATATAGACATTTATACACTGAAGCGATTTTCTGCTATGCTTTGGAAAGGGAAAGTCAAAGGTAGGAGGAGAACTGTGAATTATCTGCCATTTCTTGATAAGTCAGATGACTTTGTGTAAAGAGAGCTCTGAATTTTTAAGACAAGAGCTGGTGTTTTGTGACTCCATTGCTATTGAAATGATTGGGAAAGTGCAGTGATTCGAACGTGGGCCAGGAGGATCTCATCAGTGTAACATAAATTGGCACCCCCACTAGTTATTGCCTGCCAATTTGAAAAGGACTCATTAATTCCTACTCTGTTTCCTCTCTGCAAATCAGTTTCCTATCCATCTCAATACACTTCTGCCAATCCCATGCGCTTTAACCTTGCACATTAGTCTCTTATGTGGGACTTTGTCAAACGCCTTCTGAAAGTCCAAATATACTACATCGACTGGCTCCCCCTTATCAACTTTACTCGTTACATCTTCATAGAATTTCCAATAGATTTGTCAAGCATGATTTCCCCTTCATAAATCCATGCTGACTCTGTCTGCTCCTGCCACTGCTTTCTAAATGCTCTGCTTTAAAATCCTTGAGAATAGATTTGAGAACTTTTCCCACTACCGACGTTAGGCTCACTGGTCTATAATTCCCTGTTTTCTGTCTACCTCCCTTTTTGCATACTGGAGTGACATTAGCTACCCTTCAATCTGCAGGGACTGTTCCAGAGCCTATAGAACTCTGGAAGATGGCCACCAATCCATCCACTATTTCTAGAGCTACTTCCTGAACTATTCTCGGATGTAGATTATCAGGCCCTGGGGATTTATTGGCCTTCAATCCCAACAATTTACCCAGCACCATTTCTCCACTAATATTGATCTCCCTCAGTTCTTTCCTCTCACTAAATCTTGCATCCTCCAACAATTCTGGTATCTGATTTGTGTCCTCTTTTGTGAAGACAGAACCAAAATGTATTTAATACCTCAGCCATTTCCTTGTCCCCTGTTACACATTCCCCCATTTCTGTCTGTAGGGGACTTACATTTGTCTTTACCTATCTCGGTCTCTTCACATACCTATAGAAACTCTTTGCATCAGTGTTTATGCTCCCTGCAAACTTACTTTCGTACTCTATTTTCCCTTCTTAATCAGTCCCTTGGTCCTTTTTTGCTGAATTCTAATCTGCTCCCAAATCTCAGATTTATTATTTTTCTTGGCCAATCTGTATGCTTCTTCCTTGGATCGAATACTATGTCTTATTTCCTTTGTGAGCCATGGATTGGCCCTCTTAGCCATTTTGTTTTTGTGACAGACAGGAATAAACAGTTGTTGCAGTTCCCCCAGTGCATTCCTTGAATGTCTGCCATTACCTATCCACTGTCATCCTTTCAGTAACTCTCCCCAATCTATCAAGGCCAACTCACGCCTCATATCCTCGTAGTCTCCTTTATTAAGGTTCAGCACTTTAGTCTCCAAATCAACAACCTCCCTCTCCATCTTGATAAAAATTTCTATCGTGTCATGGTCGCTCATCTCCAAAGGGTCTCGCACAGCGAGATTGGTAGTGATTCCCTTCTCATTACACAGCACCCAGTCTAAGATGGCCTGCTCTCTAGTTGGTTCTTCCATAAATTGATCAGAAAAACCATCCCATATACACTCCAGGAATTCCTCCTCTACAGCATTGTGGCTAATTTGATTTGCCCAATCTATGTGCAGATTAAAATCACCCATGATCACCGATATTCCCTTGTCAAATGCATCTCTAATTTTGTGCTTAATGCCATTCTTGACATCACCACTGCAGATTGTGGGTCTATATATGACACCAACTAATGCTTTTTGCCCCTTGGTATTTCTCAACTCTATTCATACAGACTCCACATTGTCCGAGCTAATATCCTTTCTCACTATTATGTTAATTTCCTCTTTAATCAGCAATGCCGCTCTGCCACCTTTTCCTTTTTGCCTGATCTTCCTAAATACTGAATACCCTGGGACATACAGTTCCCATCCCTGGTCACCCTGCAGCCATGTCGCCATAATCCCAATTATATCGTACTCATTTAGATCTATCCGCACAATTAGTTCATCCACTTTATTGCAGATGCTCCCTGCATTAAGGCACAAATCCTTTAAGCTTGTCCTTTTAACAGTGTTTGCCTCCTCCTTATTTTTCTCACTAGCCCTGTTTGAATCTTGTCCTTGGTTTCTCAGCCTATCACTTTTCTTATTCCCTTTTCTAGCATTTGTTTTTGTTCTTGTTGCCTTCTTCTCCGACTCTTTACATAGGTTCCCATCCCCCTGGCATATTAGTTTAAACCCTCCCCAACCACTCAAGCAAACACGTCCACTAGGACGTCAGTCCCAGCCTTTTCTGCACAACCTGCCAGTGCAAGTAATCTCTTTCATCCCTGAAAGCATTCTAATAAATTTACAACTGCCTCCCTTCCAAAGACGATCGTTTCTTCCTGGGGCCTAAACCTGCCCTCCGGTCAAGCAGAGTGGTAATATCAGCAGTGTGGGTCACCCAGCGACAACCCTCCAATTTTCCACTGGGACTGATCTCAACAGTGACCCAAACTGAGGCCAGACCACAACCACCCACCCCAACACAAACACACCTTACAGGATTGGTTGCAAACGTGCGCTTTTAAGCAGGAGAGTGAAGAAGGAATTTCTGAACAACAGGGAACCTGTGATACTCTCTAAATGAGGATTATCCTCAGTCACGCCACAACTGGGCTGCTTCTTCCAAAGAAACGTGGGTGAAATCAAAACGCCAGCACCTTTGAATGGGACTCACCATCACGGATGTCACGCAACTTCTGGAACATGTACTTGAACCGTTTGATGATTGAGTCTTCAGGCGCGAGTAGCAGCTGAACACTGGCAGTCCTGGCCCCCATGCCTCGCCATGTGGCCCCCTGCGCCGTGCCAAAGGAGACAACAACTTCACCGCGGTTAGCTCTGGAACTGTACTTTGGAGATGGGTTCGGACTGAGGGCAGCAGAACAAAAAATAACTCATTCAGGCACCAACCAACCAATAAGATTCCAAATTACCACCAACAACAGAGCTGGGGGAGTGCTGGAGTGGGTTTACAGAGATAGGGAGGGGTCTCAGGGGCGGGAGGGGTGTTGGGGTAGATTGCTTGCACAGGAAGTGGATCTTATAGCTTGGAACATGATGGTGCCAAAGCAACAACATTACAAAAAACTTTTCACTGCACTCATTCGAGTGCACGTGACAATAAAGCTAATTCCATTCTATTTGATTGATATCTCAACCTCAGCATATCCAATTGCCAGTTGAAAATGCACTGTTACCTTGGAGAGAAGGAAGCTGGAGAGAAGAGGAGATGTGGACTGCGGGTCACGGACACCTTCTTTGACTGTGGCTGCTCTGGAGTGGTCAGCACCCGCTTCTGTGATCCTGCCTAGCAAGGGAGTACAGATTGAACAGGAAGCACACACTGAGAACAAACACCACAGTCCCCAGCCTCCAAAAACAACATTCATATTCATACAAACCCTACCCATTTCAGTACCCCTGCCTAGCTCAAGTCTTGCTGCTTCAGGAAGTCATAATCCATATCTGAGGAAAAGATAGAAACTCTCAGTGTCTCATTCAGTCTGACCCCCCATTGTGCACCCCCCCACCCCCCAAAAGGGTGTCCCAGTCAGTCTGTTCCCCGTTATCCCTTCCACCACAGTGTCCCAGTCAGTCTGCCTCCTCCTTACACCCAGGGTATCCCACTCAGTCTGCCCTGTACACTCCCTCTCAGTGTAGCATTGCCAAAGCACGGGAAAGGGGACCTGCCAGCCTGAACATCAGCTGCGGGCCCACTGGGTAAATCCTGGAACTACCCTGCAACTGTACAAATACAGACATGCCTCCAGGACAATGAGGGATGGGCACTGAATGTTGGCCTAGCCAGTGGCTCCCACACCCCCTCAACAACTTCAGAGAAAAACGGGTCACAACTCAAGGTGAAGTGAGTTAATTCTGACCGTCAAAAGGAAAGTGTCTTCTGCAATAAGATAGGTACCTTAGCAGGTGTGCAGTATGAATCAAGCAAGTTCTCTTCCTCCGTCTCTGCTTGGACACTGACCAGAGTCAAAGGAAATGTATTGGTCACACAGGGACTCACTCGTTTTGGCTGCACAGTTTTGGCCACTGTCATTCTTCACACACATTATACAACACAGAAACAGGCCAGTATTACTGCCCCATAAATCCCTTACTGCCTCACTTACAGCAGCATGGCTGCAGGTCCTGCTTTGCATTTCACTGCACTAACTAGAATTGATCCCTGCACCCACAGTACGTTCAACTAATCTCAGTGCTCTGTCCCGGACTCCACCTCCTTCACGTTAGCTGCGCTGCCTAAAATTTGCAATACCTCCACCTCAAGTGGTACAACTCCCACTCCATGACAGAATCAGTCTACCCTTCAGTACTGTGGGAGACCCACAATATCAAAGGTAGCGCAACTGTCACAATTTGAGGTGAAAGATCCTGTGCTTTTGATCAAAGAGCTCTCCCTCTTTCTCTCTCATGCTGTTCCACTCAATGTTCATCTCTCAGTTCTCACCACCAAACACACAACTAGTCATTTATCACACTGCAGTTTCTGGGATCTCGCAGCGCCTCAGCGTCAGTGCAGCTTGTCAGCGTTTGAGAACAGATTAAGTAAATTCCAACAGGAATCAGCTGCTACAAGCTTTGGGTCACAGGAGGACTTGCAAGGCTGTTATATGAAATCCTTACGATGACACCTGACACATCTCCAGCATCATTTCTCAAGAACACTGCACAGGTCTTGTATTCTGAGCTTCTTTAAAAGGATACAGCTCTTCAAGGGTGTTCAGGTCGTGCATTGGTGTCCGGATGTTCCGTTTGACTGCTGCTGGCCGAGTCTTGTTGGCGGTTTTACTAAGGACCTGAGAGAGAGAGAAATATTTTTAAGGTAGGGCCGAGATTGGGGGTGAGGGGGCTAAATGAAAATAACATTCTGTTGGTTGTGTCACACTGGGTGCAATTCCATACAAAATTGCTCTGTCTCACCACTATTCGCTCTGGCAATGACGACATATAACTGACTGCGTCAGGGACCAGACTTATTCTTTCAGTTTGACAGCATTTATACTATGGAAGATATCCAGACAGCTACAGAAGTGAGAATATTCAAGCTCACACAGGCCAGGTTGTTTAAGGGTCACTGGGAGTAACTTCATTGTTGCTCACGAGCCTGGCTGGTGGTTGGGGTTGGGGAGGTGGGTCGGGGGGTCAGGGGAGGTGGTCAGTAGTCTGAAATCCACACCAACAGGCCACACATGCGTGAATGTGCAAGCGTCACAGGCATAAGCTGAATGAAAACAGCCTGTTCTACTCACCCTCTCCAGTCCCAATATGACAGTGATTCTGACTGAAGTTAGGGCTGTCATCGCTCATGTGGTACATCTGGCCCATTGTGACTGTGCTGGCTCTTTACAAGGGCTGTGCAATCAGTCCCACTACACATTCTGCTCTTTCTTCCATTGCCCTGCAAATTTCTCCTTTTCAGTTATTTATCCTACTCCATTGCAGCTTTCCTAGTGGGTCGCCTTCCAATATGCTTTAAGACTGTACACTCCCACCACTCTCCAGGCAAAGAGGCTTCTCAAGAATTCCCAATTGGACACACTCATCTTGAATTGATGGTTCCCTAGTTCCAGTCTCCACACGACCACATATATCCAAACCCACCGCATTGTCTAAAAGACTCAATCAGGTCACTCCTCAGCCTTCTCTTCCTTCCAGAAAAGAGTTCAGGCCTGTTCAGTCATTCTTGATTGTTACAAATGTTCATCGCTACTCAAGAGATTTTTCATTTTCTCTGGGGCTCCTTTTTGAACAATGAATAAACACCATCCCCTGCAAGTGCCTCTTGAAGGTGCACACCATTCTGACTTGGAAATAAATTGCTGCTTTTCACTGTTGCTAGGTCAAAATCCTGGAATTCCCACTTTAAGGGCATTGTGGGTCTACCTACAGTAGAAGGACTGCAATGGTTCAAGAAGGCAGCTCACCACCATGTTCTCAAGGGGCAATTAGGGACGGGCAATAAATGCTGTCCCAGGCCTGTGACACCTATAGTCCATAAAGCAGTGTGTGGTTGTTCACACAACTCCAAGAGTGAAATTTCCTAAATTTGTTACCTCATGTTCAAAGATGTCCACATTTCCTGCATTCAGTGCAATTCCACTTCGTTTCATGCTGAAAGCAATCCACTCATTCACAATCTTATCTTCCTTCAAGCGATATGTGATACAGTGCTCCAACACTGCACAGAACAAGAAAAAAAGCATGTTTTTAGGAAAACATGAGCAGTAAATTATATTTCATTAAACTTCTCTTACGCCATCTCTCTGGGGAGCAGCATTCAAATCAATGAGAGACTGCTGTGATGTCAGCGCCGCGCCGTTGGAGGGTCAGCGCCATGCCAGTGGGCACTGTCGGAGGGTCAGCGCTGAGGGAGCGCCGCACTGTCGGAGGG